AAAGAACTCTGGTGGCATAGTGAGTAAGACATTGGCCTACTCACCAGAAGGTCAGCGGATCAAACGCAGCAGCTGCTCTGCAGGACAAAAAGGAGTCATTCTGCTTCTGTAAAGATTTACAGCCTTGGAAGCCCAATGGGGGGTTGCTATGAGTCAGAATCAATCGACAGCAGTGGCTTGGGTTTGGCACCTAAGGAGGTTTCATTCTCCTGGGGTCTGCTGCTGCGTCAGGCCAGTCTGCCTGAAGGGCAGAGAGGAGTCTGCCAGAGACTTGTTGGAGAGGTGCTGTATGGAATGGAAGATGCGAGACCTGGTGCTCACACCGATGGCTGGAGGTAGGATAAATGACATAGTCTCAGGCCTGGAAATTTATTTTGGGAAACTTTGCAGTGAAGACCAAGAAGATCACTGTAGTGGTTAAGTTTGTGTGTCAACTTGGCTGGGCCTGGTTGAGTGGCTGGGCAGCTGGTGGTAGTTATTCCCCATGGTGAGACTGGCAGTCAACTCCATGGTGGGAACTGCCACAAGCAGCTGAGTAGCTACTTTGCGTATGTGATCTGTTTCCCATATATAAGAAGCAGCTTTGGGAATGGTCTCTAGTTTATGGCATGCTTGAACCCTGCATGTAGCCGTGTCATTGTTCAGCAGCCTGCCATGCTCTGCTGATCTTAGGACTTTCAATGGACTTGAATTGATGGCCTGCCATGTGATTTGGCAACATCAGGACTGTGCCATTTTATTTGTCGACCTTGGGCTTGTTAGCCTCAGCAGCCAGTAGCTGCCTGAGCGAAGAGATGCGGTAGCTTCCGTGGGCTGGGAGCAAGAGACAGAGCTGAAGCCCAGGGTCGAGGGGCTTTCATATAGCCCCTAGAGCCTGGCCCTTTGAACTTGGACTTCTAGCCTCCCGAACTGTAAGAGAATAAAGCCCTGTTTGTGAAAGCCATCCCATTTGTGTTATATTTCTGTCAGAGCGGCACTACGTAACCAAAACAATCACCAGAGGTGACCCTCAGGAGCTCACTTCACATTGCCCCAAAGGATTATGTGTCCTGCTTCTCATACTGGGTGTGAAGCTCCGTGAGAGGACCAAGTTTCTCTTGGAGTGGGCCTGTCAGTTCCCTTCCTACCCGTTCCAATTTTCTTTCCTTCCCGCTTTATCTGCTTTGTTTTTCTTTCTTCTTTTTCTTATGCATATTCCCTTCTCATCCTTTCTCTCCAGGAAAAAGTTTGAGCACTGTTTATTTGTTTGTTTCTATTAGGAGAAAGTTCTCTTTAGTCAAGAAGATGTGATGATTACAAGAATGTATCAAGGTTTTGTGTGCCTATTTTCTAGGGAAATAGCTGTTTGTTGGTAGCCAGTGTGGCAGTTTAGAGATCCACTAGCTTTGCACAGAGTCGGCCAATTACTAACATAGTGAGTTATCAGGGGATTTGACTTGGAATTCATTTCGTATAGTTCCACTGCTTTGTGGTGATGTAGGGACTAGAGAAGGGAACAGATCAGAAGTGCAATCGTTTAGTGAAAAGTCTAAACCTAAAATATATTTTAAAAGTTACAGTTTGCTTGTTTGAATTGTGACTTCTAAGGAAAGTCTAAGTAACTGCTACTCCATAAAATAGGTCCGTTCTTTGTCGGAGGCATAATGATAAGTGTAGATTTTGTTTAGCTGGAATTGACTTCCACACTCGTGGTTGTGTGACTTCCAGCAGGTTGCTGACCTCAATAAGCCTCGTCTTGAAAATGGGCATGAAATAGGAGCTAACTCCTAGATCATTGTGAAAATGAAAGACGCTGTTCTCCAGGGGGTCAGCATGTTGCTCGGCACATGGCAAACATTTAGTAAGCATGAGCTTTTATCATTCATTGTTGACGTAGGGTCCCTGATTTGATACAAATTCAAAAACATGATGCTGCTGCTTTCAGACCTTTCTCTCAATCCCATGCGCTGCTTTTGAACTACCATACACACTAATTATTGGCTGCAAATGAATGAAGCTTTGCTGTTGAAAAATCCAGTTTCTCTGCTGTTTTCTCCTTTTATTGGTTCTCACCAAGATGTTCATTGGGCATTGAGCAGGCCGAGCCAGCCAGGCTTGATGGGCTTAGCTCTCCCAGATGTGCTCCTGACCTGCAGAGCCTCCTTCCCCACCTGGCTTCCCCTGGAACCGCCAGTCCCCAGTGAGCACACAGTTTGTAATTGCCTTAGGATAGGCCCAGCCAGAGAGAGCATACTGTGACTTCTCCCAAACCCCTGTTGCATGCTGTCTTTAACTGGACTGTTTAGAAAGCGTTATCTGTTCTTTCCAGAACACTCTCTCACTTCCGAAGGCAGTTACCCACCCTGCCTTTATCTACACAGGCAGCCTCCCCACCCCTCCCAGTCTGCAGTGTTGGAGGAGCCCCTGGACCCCAGACTGCAACTTGCAGATACTGCACAGGTGAAAAGAAACGTGAGAAGCTGGCTGGTTGGCTGCAGTGAGGGGGGATTTTACTCTGTCAATCTGATTACTATGTAGTCTTCAATATTAGAAACCAAATTCCACTTAAGCCTCAGCTCACATCACCAGGTATTGCTTACAAACGGGCTTAGTCACACTGTTATGGCTGGCTTTTTAGCAGTAACCACATAGTATTTGCACAGTCATCATCATAGCTTGCTTGCACAGTCATGTCGTCTGGTCTGTTGTAACTGCAATCCATTAGATTAATGAAAGAAAGCCTAAAACTGGTGGTCTAGAAGGATGGACAGCCAAAAAGGATTCCATTTATACTTCCTTCCTTTCTTTCTTCCTTTTTTTCCAATCTGTAACCAAAGATTCCGACCATCCATGCCATGCACATGTAAGCCTCTCCTCATAATATTCTGCTTCTGTCCTTGGTAACATGTTCCATTGTTTCATCATTCCCTGGGTCAAGTTACTGAAGAGTGTCATCCATGTATGTGTATTGAACCTGCTACCATTTTCTTCACTTGAACCAAAGTTGAGGGTCGTGCTCTCAGTTGCCATATATGCTAATGCTTTGGACGGTAACATCATCCTGGTTGTATTATTCACATTCTCAGTGCCATTCGCGTAGTATTATCTCTGTAAAATCATATGAAATGGCAAGGAAATAGACTGGGGAACTCTAGAAAACTTTCTGTTTATGATTTTATGGATACCTAGAAATTGTAGAAGGAGCTCTGGTGGCACAGTGAGTAAGCATTTGGCTGCTGACTAGAAGGTCAGTAGTTCAAACTCAACAGCTGCTCCACAGGAGGAAGATGGGGCAATATACTTCCGTAAAGATTGACAGCCTTAGGTACTCAATGGGGGATGCTCTGAGTTGGAATCGACTTGATGGCAGGAGAAATTGTGGGGGTACCTGCATGGTGCAAACCATTAATGCCCCTGGCTGCTAACTGAGTCCACCCAGAGATGCCTGGGAGGAAAGGCCTGGTGATCAGCTTCTGAAAGATGAGCCATTGGAAATCCTGTGGTGTGCCGTTCTCCTCGGACACACATCATAGCTGGGAATACAAAGAAACTGTGTGGTTGGGTATGCATTCGAGATACAGGGAAATAAAAGGGTGCAGGAGGATGGAGGAAGCAGAAGAGGGAATTTCTGAAGTGCTTGGAGAAGGAACACAAAGATGGGCAGCTGGCTTGAGTCATTTAGGCACCAACAGCTATTACTTGAAATCCCACTTGGACCCTCCACTTCAATCATTGTTGTTTTCTCTATGCTAAATGGGGATAGTCGTTTCAATTATTTGTTATCAGTCCTCTTTTACTAACTATCCCAGCGTATGTGAAATTATGCTTTTATATTTGGTCATATAAACCTGAGGACTTGAGATCTAAGGTAATAGGAGGTGGGAGTCGATGACAGGAGCAAGCGGGGCCATGGGACAAGGATGGGTTTGCGGTGGGGGCCCCAGGTTGTAATTCCAGATGGACCATCTCCTGAGTGTGACTTTGAGCAAGTGAATGAACTCAGAATCTGTGCTTCCCTATTTGAAAATGGGATTTAAGTAGTACCAAAAAAAAAAAAAAAAAAAAACCCACATATCAAGGGGATTGCACTGGAGGGGCTTCTACTTTAGAACCGTGTCTGGTCTTTGCTTCTTCTCTTGATCCCCTCAGCCCAGTCAAGAGCAGAAGCTTGAGTTCCAAAATCTATTGTTCTGAGTATAGGGGTTTAATCCAGAAAATAGCAACTACAAGTCCATGTCCCAGCTGAAGACTGATGAGATCCAAGGAGATTTCTGCAGCTGCCCACATTCTCAGCATTGGAGGAGATTAGGTTACCTGACCTTTGTTCTGGGCATAGCAGTATGTTCAGTGATGCCAGAAATCTATGTAAAGATTAATACTTTCTCCTTTCCACACATGCTTCCAAACAGCCCCTCACAAATGCTATATTGGATTTCGGTATGTCCATCCTTTAACAGAAGAAGCAATTGAAGAGATGGAGAGCGATGGACTTGAAAGGGCAATTGCCTTCACACAGTATCCACAGTATAGCTGCTCTACCACGGGTAAGTACATCGCTTCTGAAACGGGGGGATGGATGTGGCCTGGAGAAAATAACTAGGCAGCCTGAGTGCAGAAGGAAAGGATCAGTCACTGGAGATTTGAATGGCAAATCTGGCCTGTCTCCTTTAAACGCGAGCATTCAGGATGGTCTATTGAAATCTCATGGTTCATCTGTTCCTTGAGTTACTGGCCAATCTTCAAAACTTACGAATGGTGGCTGGAAGACAGTGGCCGCCAGTGTTCAGGCTCTGAATGTGGTTGTATAATGGATCAGTAATGACCTTAAGCCACATTCTAGGGTCCAATAAACCTTATTTTTATTGCTACCCTAATACTCTGATGAATGAGGAAAAGGTGACAGCTTTTTCCGTTTTGAAAGCCTAAGTGCCCATATAACATTGGAAATACTGATATTTTTTGGTTGTGCTTCATTGTGGGTTGGTTGATGGTTCAACTAAAGCCCAGTTGGGGTTGGTTCCCTTTGTAGACTTCTCTCAGTGTTCTTGATTTTGGGAAGTATTACTTCTTGCTGTTTCCTATATATTGAATGAGAGCTGGAGAAGAATCTATCTTTGGCAATTTCTGTGTCATGAGTTATAGGCAGAGCTTCTGCTGTCACCCACAATGACAGTTGCCTGCTTGCTATCTCAGGGATCGGGTCAACATATTTTTTACTCCCAGATTGCATTCAGACATTAGTATATATTATTAAGAGTCATTTATGTTTGTCTGGTAGCATAGTGCCTAAGGCACTTGACTGCTAACCAGAAGGCTGGCAGTTCAAATCCACCAGCCACTCCTCGGAAGGAAGATGGGGCAATCTACTTCCGTAGTGATACTGCCTCGGAAACCCAAGGAGGGGTCGCTATGAGTCGGGTCTGACTTGACGGCAAACAACAACAACAACAACAAAGTGACATAGGTCAATGCATTTTTTTTTTTTTTTTTGCAGTGTTCCTTCCTCTCCCCTCCTACCCCTGGTAACCAACAAAGAAAGTTTCCTTCTATATATAAACCTTTCCTTGACTTTTTACAATAATTAATTAATACTGTATTTGACCTTCTGTGATTGACTTATTTCACTCAGCATAATGTCTTCCAAGTTCATCCACATTATATGCAGTGTTTTGCAGACTCTTTGTTATTCTTTAGTGTTGTGTAGTATTCCATTGTGTGTGCGTACCATAGTTTGGTTATCCACTCTTCTGTTGATGGTCACCTAGGTTGTTTCCATCTTTTTGCTATTGTAAATAGCATTGCGATGAGCACGGGTGTGCATATATCTGTTCTTGTCCTGGCTCTCACTTCTTTAGGATATATACCTAGTAAAGGGATTGCTGGGTCAAATGGTATTTCTAATTCCAGCTTTTTAAGGAATCTAGGCCACACTTATTAAGGAACTCTGGTGGCACTGTGATTAAAGCACTCTACTGCTAGCCAAAAGGTCAGTGGTTTGAACCTACCATCCTCTCCATGGGAGAAAAATGTAGTAGTCTACTTCTGTAAAGATTACAGCCTCGGAAACCCTATGGGCAGTTCTACCCTGCCCTGTAGGGTAACAACAATGGCAAGTAACAACAACATTATCAATCACAGTTTTTTCATATTCCCTTTCTTCAATTGAATCGTGGCAATGAGTTTGGTTTTGGGTTCTTACTTACTTCTCCTCATAGTTCATTGAATATTTCCCAGTGACCCGAAAGAACTCATGTAGCTTCTAGAAGGCCTTTCGTACACACTGAAAATGGTATTCACTGTAAAGTGTAGCTTGAAATTGAATATGGTGGTGATTCTTCTGTGGTTGCTCCAGAAATTAGTTTTGAGTCTGGAGTGGAGTCCATTTGGGTTCTTCTGTTTCACTGCAACCTACTCACCAGTGGTGAACCAGTTTTATTTTTTGAATGTTGTCTTAGCCTCAGAGCACATTTGATTTAAAGTACTGCTCTATCCTGACCAGCATTTTAAGTGGGAAACCTGACTGATACAGGAGAGGTCAGTGGGTTGGTGATGGGAAGCCCGGAAAGGCTGGAGACCTTGCCCGGTGCTAAGACTGAAGAAGAGGCCTGTGCCAGGAGTGCTTCTTCGAGCTGAGGCTTGGCCCCACCACCGTCCCTCCTAGGCCAGGACAAAGTGGCATTGACTTGGCACCATCTGCTTGCCTTTGGCTTTGAATGTTCACAATCTCCATCTCTTCCTTAGAAATACAGACTTTAGCAGGTTACCTATGAGGATTAGGTGTCCATTTACCTTAGTCTGGGGAAAGCTGATGATTTTGTAGGCGCAGAGAAAAGTAGGTGATGCTTGCAGAAACCTCAGGAAGCTGCTCTCCTTGTCATGAAGGAATAAAGGTTTTATAGTAACATAGAGACTAGTTATCTCATAATTTTAAGAAAAACTACCCAAGATACTCAGGGTACAGAGTCGTTGATATTCAACAGAGAAAAACAGGAAAGAACTGTGCTAGAACAGAGCACTGACTGCATTAGCACGGTGGGATCAGTGAGTTCATGGTCAACCACTCACTACCTTTTCTGTAATGGGGTTCATTAGCTTCATAACGGGGGGGAGGGTGGGATAAGCATGCTTTCAGTTGAAAGACTTGGTCCCTGCAAATACCAGCTGCTGGGGTATTTCCTAAATCCATGGCTATTGTGTTTCTCACTAGAAATGACCTTAATAGTCTTTGAAAGTCTGTTGCAATTGATTGCTTTTGAGTGATCTTCATTTGCAGAGTAAATTATATGCATTTGAAAGTATTGAAATGATTGTAGACCAGCTCAGTGTAGAAGCAGTTACCTACTTTGAACTTACCATTGCTGCCTTTACTAGTCTGTTTTTCATTTTCATCATCATCAAAATTCATTTACTGAGTGGTCCTCGGTGTATTTCAGGCAGCAGCTTAAATGCCATTTACAGGCACTACAGTGGAGTGGGGAAGAAGCCCACAATGAGGTGGAGCACTATCGACAGGTGGCCCACACATCCCCTCCTCATTCAGGTAAGCCAGGCACCGCCAGGTGCGTGTCAGGTGCTTGTCCCCGTTTGGTTTTGTGTGTGCATGCTTTTCAGCCTTACCCTTTTCATGCTTAAGTTAAGTCGTGTGCTGGGCATTAAGAAAAAATTATATTAAACTTCTGATTTATTTTGAGAAAATGAATTTAAAGATTTAAATGGTTAGTCTCTTGTCTTTCCTTAGATTACTGCTGTTAAACCATAGCAGAATTATCTTTGGGGTTTTGTGTTGTCAGCAACCAGAAGAACATTAAAGATCATGCCTGGTGTCTCAGCTACGGTGAATAATGTTGCTGTTTGCATTCATAAGTTGGATGACTGACAAAGTAAATCCTCTCTCCAAATCCTTTGACATTTTAAAAGATTTTAAAATTTTAAAGATAATGTATGTCTGTATTCTGAGAGCTGAAAATATATAAACCTAGCATTTTCAGCTGAGGAAGTTTCAAATATGAAAAGATCTGTGACATTTATGTGGCCCAAAATTTTTTTACTTACTTGTTGATTTTAGGAGAACAATTAGAACTACAGTGTTAAACGTAATGGCTTTGATTGGGTAACACTGTAGACTGTGCTGCCCTCTGACTCTGAAAGTCCTGCTGGTGACTGCAGAGAGATTGCTTTGTTCTTTTGGTGGCAGTTTTTGCTGTGGAGTCAGTTTAGGTCCAAGAAGTATCACGTGAGTTAGATCTCATCCAGTCCATTTCTTGCTTTTTTCATTCTTCCGCTAAGCCAGCAGAAGAGATGACTTAAATGTGCACATGTTACACTCAGCTGCCCTGAGTGAGAACAGAACTAGTCCAGAAAGAAAGTCATAGGTCCAGGGCTGAGGGTCAGAAGGGACTGATTTGGAATGAGCAAGGTGGTCCTCTCAGGTGTTCCTGGCCATGGAATGGTGATGGAAGTCCTAGATCCATTCTAGACAGTGGCATGCAGTAGCAGCAACTAGTAACAGTGTCCCTGGCCTCTGGCTGGCATCCCGTGTTCCTGCTGCAGTAGTTTCTGTGGTTGTAGACGCTAGTGTTTACTTGGACCTCTGCCTCATTGTTTTTCTTTTGCGCTTCAATCTGCCTCTTCCTCCACTTGGCTGTCAACCTCCACTTGGAGGTTTCTAACAAGATGGCGCTAAGGCCAGGTCCAGTTCATTTTTTATTCCTTGCACATTCTCTGGCTTCTGGCAAAATACCAGATTAACAGGCTAACAATTAAAAAAAAAAAAAAATCCCTGTGTCCCTTAAAATCCATAACCACTAGATGGCGCAGGACATTGTTAAAATCAGGCCGGACTAGACAGTGTTTCTTTGGCGTTGTTGTTGTTGCTGTTATGTGCCGTGGAATCTGACTGACTCATAGTGACCCCTCCTTGGGTTTCCGAGGCAGTATCACTACGGAAGTAGATTGTCCCGTAGTTGATGTAAAAGGTTGTAACGCTGGAGGTTGAAATCCTGTTTTAGGTAAAAAGTAAAAAGAAGGGACCTTTCTTTAGGGATGAGTGGAGTTTTGGTCTGTGTGTCTGTCCTCGCCTCTTGCAGGAGCAGCACCTCCCGCTCCTGTCTGGCTCTTGGAGGCCTGTGACTGGGAACTAGGGGAGTTGCGGTCCGCTCTGCCTTGTGGTAGCAGAGGGGATGGAGGGGTCTGCACAGCATCTGCCAGCCCCATGGAGGGAGTAATTAGATTTGCATTAAAATTCAAGCCTTTGAAAAGGGGGGAAGTCAAAAGATGGAAAGGTCTCTTAACTGAGGAAGTCTCTGTTCATAAAATGAAAGGGAATTTCCGAGGCGTTTATCTGTCCTCCTGGACGGTGTGATTGAAGGATCTGGGAGCGCGGCGCCCCTTTCATTGTGCGCTGGGATCACGGAGAAACAGGGCAGATGGATTTGACCAGCTTGAAGCAGCACTTCTCCTTGCCCACTGCTGCTCTGTTTTAAAGCTGGCTTAGAGTCTGTCGCAAGCCATGATGAATTGCGTTTTTACTTGCAGTTTTTCAAGATGAAGAAAGGAAAAATATTAATGTCAGAAAAACGGAATTCTTTTGGAAACAAAAGTTTATAAATTCTTAATATGAGAAAATTTGATATCTAGCAGACATTAAAAAAACGAAAACCTTTATTTTGTTTCTAATCCACATCTTTCTTTGTTAGAGGTGTTAATTTCCCAGTCATTCAGTTATTGCTATCTTTAATATTGCTGTTCATCATAAATTCCAGACTCCTGTATAAACTTTAAAACAGGCCTCCCATCTAGGCAGGGAGCTCTGGTGGCGTGCCTAATCCATTTAACTGCTAACCAGAAGGTTGGCGGTTCAAACCCACCAGGCACTCCTCGGAAGGAAGACTGGGCATTCTATTTCTGTGGAGATGCTCCCTCGAAACCCAAGGACGGTTGCTGTGAGTCGGAACGGACTCGACGGCAGTGAGTTTGGTTTCCTGTCTAGGCTTTCGACCAGAAATACATCCTTTCTGAGCACCTTTAGTTTCCAAACACTCTAAAGGCCGCTAAAACAGAAATACTGTTTTTTCTTGTGTTTAATCCTATCACATTTACTCCGTAGATAAATTAGGAATTTTGCAGAGGGAACTAATTCTCTAGGCATTTTTTTGTGCCTTAGGGTTTCTGTGTACCAAATTTTGAGGTTCTGGAGAGATTAACAGTATATCAGTATTTACTAGGGAATACCACTGATACATCAAAATACCAGGAAGTGAAAATTTCCAGGGTTCTGGTAAATCATCCTTTATAATGATTTCAAAAGCTTTTAATTTGGAAACGATTTCAAACATGCAGAAGTTGCAAGATGGAAAGTAGTGTGAGGAATATACTCTATGTAGATTGACCCATTGTTTACATCTGTCCCGTTTGTTGTTGTATTTGCGTGTTGTGTGTGTGTGTGTACACCTTTTTTGGAACCGTTCAAGAGTAAATTATATCCACCATCACCCAACATATCCAAATGCTTGGGTGTTTATTTCCTTAGATCAGACATGTTCAACGTCAGTAACTTTAACATTGATACTTCTTTTATCTAATCCACATTTCTATTGTGATTTTGTCAATTGACATGGGTAATTGATAATGTCCTTTGTAGCATTTCCTTTATAATTGAAATGACAAAGAATGATTAAAGCTTAAGATGAAAGCAGACTCTTCAGATCCCGTATTTCAGCACCTATCATAGGAATCAGAAGGCGTGAACTAGACGAAGGGAAGGAACCGGTCTGGCGGACAGAGATGGGGGGGGGGGGGAGGCAGGACCCACCTTCCAGGCTGCGTTCCACAGATGTGACTGAATGGGCCCCAAACCCATTGCATCTCTGCCCGCTCTGTGAATTTGGCGCGGTGACACCAGCGTCTACCCTGTCACTAGGAGAACTGGCTCATTCAGGATGCCAGGCTTAGAAGAAAAGCGCCACGCGGACAGACACAACTGTCTAGTTGCTCTGCTCTGTGTGTCTGACGTGATGTGCCTGGAAGCCAAATGATGGACGCCATAGAAAGACCCTGGGAGCTGCCTTCCTGCTAACCCAGCACATGCGAGGTCTTGAAACAGCTCGCCTTCCCATCTGTGTTTCCTTCCCATCTGGAGGTGCGCCCTGCCCCTCCCCAGGGGGAGCGCAAGCAGAGCCCCAGCGCTTATTTTTGCGGAGCCATTAGCAAGCTTTAGAAGTTTCCCATCAAATCCCCCAGGCCCCTGAAACCGTTAGGATCCATTTTGATGATGAACCAGAGCAGGAGAATGGTACTGTTGATGATTTTTTTTTTTTTTTAAAGCGCATTCCTTTTTCTTTGTTTTCTTTTTTTGAAGGTTGCTCTGAGAGTTTTGGTGTAGCTCTCATGTAAGAATTGTTTTCTGTCTTCCCACTTTCTCCTGATCCTCATTTCTTGGTGTTCCCACAGTGTTTTGCAGACCACATTCTCAAAGAACTGGACCATTTTCCACTGGAGAAGAGAAGCGAGGTTGTCATTCTTTTTTCCGCTCACTCACTGCCGATGTCTGTAAGTAAGAACGTTTTTTTTTAATGACCTTGTGGTAGGCAAGTGGGTTGTTTCATTTTCTAAATGTGTAAAATGGACCCTGCTTCCATAGCATGCTAAGCCTAGAACAAGGAAGACTCCCCAAATCCCAGATTTAACTATTTAATTAGACTAACCTCTTGAAACCTACCAACCAACCACAAATTCAGAGTATCAGATGGGAAATAGATGTTGGCTTAAATAAACCCTTTTAAAATGGTAATTTGAAGAGAGATTCGTTTATATGAAGTTTAAAGAAGTTAGACAGTTAAGAGAAGACATCTTGGACCACCCAGGAGGCACTGAGCCTGACACTTCAGGGGGTTGAGTTGTAGAGCCTCCATTTAGACAGTCACTCTCATTCCCATGCATGTGGCCTCAGAAGACTTGGTAGATGAGGTCTGTCTGAATTCCAGAAAGCTACGGTAGTTTTTAACTTGCTGAGACGAGGGAACACATTTTGGCCCGTGACTATAGAGCACCTCAAGTTGTGGTCTGGTTATCCCTGCGTTTGTCTAGGACACTGGGCTGTTGGTGGAAATACTGCCATCTGCGTACCTGATGCATTTTTGGACATAAGATCATCAAGCTACTGTGCTGTTTGTTATATTTGCTTGTTCTGAGTGCTTGGGGTAAACAGCCAGTTTTGTCAGCTCAGAGCTGGCTTGTTTCCTAACGTGCTGCTGTCAAGCCCTGAGAGCTGGAGGATGCCATTTTCTGAGGTGGTATGAGGTTTTTACCTCCATGGTCAATGGCGTTCACGAGTCTGGGCCCACTTTTCCAACTGGCCTTTACTGCCATCTGCTGGCCCTCGGTGTCAAGCCCTTTGCACCTCTTGCCCTCTCACATCTCAATGAAGCAGTCCCCGTTTCCAGCAGTAGGTGGCCCTAGAGATAAACTTCTCTCCTCTGGAAGCCTGCATGTCTTTTAACAAGTTGACATCCTCCTTTCTGATGTCAAGCACACCCTCTTCACGTCCCCACTCCTGCCCTCTTCCCTCATTCTTTTTATAATTGTCTTATGTGTGATGAAACCGTGTCTGAAGTACCAGAAGGGAAGCTCTGACCCAGAAGAGGAAAAACATGTTTGATACGTGAACGATTCCAGGTGTGGCCTCCCCTTGTCTCACCCTGGCCTCACTTCCCTTTCTGTCCCTTGGGACTGAGCGTACTGCTCCTGGGGTTTTGGTTGCCCAAGGGTCCTATGTGGGACTGATGAATGCCAGGAAATCATGAGGATGAGGAAGGGGGAGGGATGACCAAGGGTCTGTCAAGGCAGAAAATGCTTTTCCTATACCATTACTTTTCTATATCTTTGAAATAATCTTTGACTGGTAGGAAAGTAACAAAAGTATTGTAGCGAGTTTCCATATACTGCTCACCCAGCCTACCCTAATATTCACCTCTGCCTGTCTACTCTGCTGTAGTAAAAGGATCGAAACTAAGAAATTCACATGGACACAATTCTGTTCATTTAATGTCAGACTTTATTCAGATTTCACCAGTGTTTCTGCCAGTGGCCTTTCTCTGTTCCAGGATTCCAAAGTGCACACAGTTGTCATGTCTCTCTCATCCTTTCTGATCTGTGACGCTTCCTCAGACATCCTTGTCTTTCATGACACTGACATATTCGAACAGGTCTTCTGCACTTACTTTGTAGACCTTCCATCCACCTGGGTGTGTCTGATGTTTTCTCGTGTTTAGATCGAGGTCCTGCTTCCAGGGGTGCTGGGCCCCTTGGGGGGATGGGGTCAGTGTGTCTTACTACTGGTGATGTGATCCTTGATCACATGGTTGAGTGGTATTAACTAGATTTGTCCATTGTAAAGTTGCTGGTTTTCCCTTTGTCTTTGAAGGTATCTTGGGTGAGATGTTAGTGGTGGTGCAAATGCCCAGTTCCTTAGACTCTGAGCTGCTCATTTGAGCACCCGCTGGTGGGGCTTGCTCCCAGCACTTACTGCTGTGCTCTTGCAGTGGTGAGTTTTATGTCCCTCTTTCCTTTTGCATTTATGCGTCTTCATGGCCTTCTGATGCACTTTTAGGAATGTCCTAAAATATTTTGTTGGTATTGCTTTTCAACAATATCTATTAGGCACCACTGTATGCCAGGCACTGTTCTAAGTGCTTAGGGTGTGGAAATGAACAAAACCGTCCTGAGTGGATGAGGGGGATGGATAATAAAATAGCCCATAAGGAAAAGGTGTGGTATATTAGGGGTATGGTGTGCTGGAAGGTGGTGAGTGCTGTGGAGAGACACAGATGAGGGGAAAGGGCACCAACGCACAACTACACATTAAAAGAACATCTGCGTCGGGCATCGTAAAGGTCTTGTGAGCCAGCTGTCCTGATGGTCAGGAGCATGGCTCCCACGTTTGCAGGGCCCAGAGCTTTGGTCTGTGGTCCATTGTAGTTGGGGGAGAGACAAAGAATAAGAAGGTATAGGCCAGATTCTCTAGGTGCCTGTCCTCTGAAGCTGTGTGCTGCTTCAGTCCTCTGTTGTCCGCTAGCATTTATCCCTTCTGTTTTCCTGGGCCCCACAACCCTCGTAGTTCTACACATGCTCTGTACAATCCACCCACCAATTGCTGTCAAGTTGACGCCAACTCGTGATGGCCCCATGTGCTTCAGAGTAGAATGCTCTCCACAGTCTTCAATGGCTTTGATCTTGTGGAAGTTGATCACCAGGCCTTCTTCCAAGGTGCTTCTGGGCGGACTTGAACCATCACCCTTTTTTGCTCAATAGATTTGTGCTTAACTGTTCGTGCCACTCAGGGACTCCTTGTCCATGCAGCACTCATTTAATTCCTGTTTTAAAGTCTCAGGTGATTACCAACATAGAAATTCCCATTCCATGTTGACACTTCCCGTGCAACTTTTTTTTTTTTTTTTTTTTTAGGATTTGGGTGAAGATTTACAGAGTAAATTCACTTTTCATACAGCAGTTCACATATACTTTGTCTCATGTCATTGACCAAAATTTACAATGCAGCAGCTCCCCTCCCACTTCCTCCCCATAGTTACCTCCTCCCAGTGTCCATCCCTTCATACTCTTCTGCACCCTGAGCTATCTCCCTGTGCATAAGCAGCCCTTCCTTCTCCCATGATTGTTCTCTCCAGGGTGTGTGTCTACTTGAGGTAAATGTTTAACTCACATGCCTGTACTTTGTATGGCTGGAAACCACAGTTGTGGGTTCAATTCCAGACCTGAAGGGCAGCTAGGGGCCATAGTCTCAGTGGTTACACCAGGCTCCATTGGACCAGCAAACCTGGTCCCGTGCAACTTTTGTAGGTCAATTCTTTACGTCACAGTTACGCATTGTCGATCTCTGACAGATCGCTTGGAACACATACTTTCCCACCTTCTCAGGGACCTTGGAGATCATTGAGTGCCATGTTCTCCTTTTGCCAGGGAGGAGATGGATCCAGGAAAGCTGAGTGATGAAGCTCAGGGTTGTTCCTCATTAGAGCGGGAGACAGTGTGGGAGGACTGGGTCCAGGACTCCCGGCACCTCATTAGAGCTGGAGACAGTGTGGGAGGACTGGGTCCAGGACTCCCGGCATGCTGAGGCTCGCAGAACCCTGCACAGGGCTGCAGACTGAGCATCGTTGGTGTCTGTGCTGCAGGTGGTCAACAGAGGGGACCCCTATCCTCAGGAGGTAGGAGCCACTGTCCAGAGAGTCATGGAGAAGCTGGGCTACTCCAACCCTTACCGACTGGTGTGGCAGTCCAAGGTAAGTGGCATCCACGTTTGCTGGCAGTCAGCTTTTTTGAGAAAGTCTGTTTTAGGACTTAGTTATACAGTGATTAGCTTTGGCCCTTTCACGGACTGTTTGACCCTGATTGCTCACCATGGGTAGAAAGAACTCTGTAAACAAGCATAGTGGGACAGGAAATCCACTGACCAGTTAATTTCATATATTTCAGTTGTAGTGACAGAAACTGTTATTGATACATCTTGTCAACTTCTAGAAGGATTAGGTTTAGATGTGGAAATACCGAAACCCATTACAGCAGGTAGAGAGTGGCCTAGCCCTCGAAGGCAGGGGTCTGCGTACATGGCAGTGGGCTATGGGGGTGGGGGTGGGGGTTGCCAGAGAAGTGGCTGTGTGCCCATTCACCTTCCTTTCTCACAGGTCGGGCCAGTGCCCTGGCTGGGCCCTCAAACAGATGAGGCTATCAGAGGGCTCTGTGAGAGGGGCAGGAGGAACATCCTTTTGGTTCCGATAGCGTTTACGAGCGATCACATCGAAACGCTATATGAGCTGGATATCGAGTACTCTCAAGTCCTAGCAAACCAGGTAAGAGCTCCGGTCAGGCTTATTAATCCCATTGTGACTTATATTGAAAGGAAGCCTTTTCTGGAGTGATTTAATTGTATCACTCGGGAATATTGTTTAGATAGGTGTTTGTTGACAGGCTCAAGCATAGCGAGGTTGGCACAGGACTGGGTGGTGTTTCCTTCTGTTCTACACGTGGTCTGCATGGTCACTGAGTCAGAGTCAACTCGACAGCACCTAACAACAATTACAACAAATAGTTGTTTGCATGTACCGTATCCAGTAAACCCTCCTTGTTCTGAGGATGACTTAATCTGAGTAATATCTCAACAGTGGGAAAGCCTTATGCCTTCAGTAAACCAGGCGGCTCAGGGACCACTGAGTGTTAAGCATTGTTTTGATTCATTTGAATGGCTGTAACTAATTGAAAGTAATTAAAACTACATTTCATTAAGAAAAAATAACCATACTTCTCCCCAGTTCTGAAGGAAGCTTTTTATTGTCCTTTGATTCTTCTTCTCCCCCGATAGTGTTGTGTAGTTGGGGCAGTGACACTGTTCTCCTTGGGTTTCTAGGCCTGTGGTGGTCACCGTCATGTGGGAGGAGAGGGTGGGAGGTGCTGGTCCCCGTCGGGCAGGAGGAGAGGGTGGGAGGTGGTGGTCCCCGTCGGGCGGGAGGAGAGGGTGGGACGTGGTGGTCCCCGTCGGGCGGGAGGAGAGGGTGGGAGGTGGTGGTCACTGTTGTGTGGGAGGAGAGGGTGGGATGTGGTGGCCACCGTTGGGCGGGAGGAGAGGGTGGGATGTGGTGGCCACTGTCGGGTGGGAGGAGAGTGTGGGAGGTGGTGGAGGAGAGGGTGGGAGGTGGTCACCGTCGGGCGGGAGGAGAGGGTGGAAGGTGGTGGTCACTGTCGTGTGGGAGGAGAGGGTGGGACGTGGTGGTCACCGTTGTGTGGGAGGAGAGGGTGAGAGGTGGTGGTCACCGTCGTGTGGGAAGAGAGGGTGGGATGAATGCAGAAGTGGCCTATGCTATAGTTTCCTTGGCCTTTCGTATGCACTCACTTAATTAGCTCTTTGCATTGTTTTGTGATCAATCTGCTTTTTGAAGTAACTATCATCCTTAGTGCCTTGTACCATAAGATGGATGTGGATTGCCATTCAGGGTGGAGAAAAACTACTGCCCACCCATCTCCTTGCTTCTGAGGACCAGTCTGAGCCTGAGTCCGAATCCTAGTGTAGTTTCTATGGGAACCATGGAACGTTGACGTGCAAGAGGCCCTTTCCCCTGCCTCACTTCATGCCAGAACTCCTGGCCCTGGTCATCTGCGGCGTGATTGATGCAGGCCTGGCCTCAGAATGCTCACCCTCTGTGGAATTGGGTGGCAGGTGCAGGGCAGGGTGGAGGGTGGGTGGAGGCTGAACTGCAGTCAGCTCCCAGCCCCGAGGTGTCTGTGTATCCATGCTGGTCATCAGTCAGACGTTGATGAAGTTTGGGAGGACCTAAATTACTTGTCAGTAGTTCTGATAAAGGATTTGTGGAAAGTTGTAATTGGCTAAAATGAGATTGCCGGGTTGCTGGTGTATTTAATTTCATGAAGTCTCTGTAGTTTTTCTCCACCCTGGCCTTGGTTAATTGTGAGCTTGCTCCAAGGACTTGAGTGCATGTACAGTTCCCTCCAGTTTGTCTGAAACACGCATTTGTGTCTGAATTGAATGACAGTTCACATTCCTTCATATTACTTGGCTGTTTTTACTTAATGATCAGGTTGGTTATCAGTGACTGTTGTGGTCTTCTGGTGCTACTGGAACAGACAGTGGATGCATGTGGATGGCTTTCACAATCAAGGATTTAGTCTCTTACAGTTTTAGGAGACTAGAAGGCCGAGTTCAAAGTGCCAGCTCTAGGGGCTGGGCAAAGGCCCCTTGATCCTGGGCTTCAGCTCTGCCTCTGGCTCCCAGCCCACTGGAGCTGGAGGCATCTCTTCACTCAGGTGGCTGCTGAGGCTGACAAACCCAAGGTCAACAGGTAAAATGGCACAGTCCTCAAATTATCAAGTAACGTGGCAGGCTGCTAGTTCAAGTACAGAAAGTCACAAGATTGACAGGCAGCATGGCAGGCTGCTGAATGAAGACTCAGCTACATGCAGGGTCCAAGCGTGCCAGAAATCTCGAGCCCTTTCTCAAACCTTCTCCTTATATACTGGAAGAAGACCCCATGCCCCGGGCTGCTACTCGGCTGCTCACAGTAGATCCCACCATGAGGTGGATCACCAGTCTCATCCTGGGGAATACTACATCCAGCTGCTCAGCCACTCAAAACCAAGCCCTGCCATGTTGACACATGACCTTAACTGCCACAGTGACTAACTGGACAAATAGCAACTATTCACTCAAATCCACTTCTCTCTGACATCCACCCTGAGGCTGTGCCACACCCCACGTTTTACTTCTCTGTTCGGTTATGATACCAGCTGCCCAGGCAGTGCCCGTTCCTCTGACCTGACCCTTGGAGCTAGGTCACCACTCACGAAGGGTCTGGTCCTACAGGCTGCTGAGTTGGTGGCTGCAGGCTTGGAAGTCCCCCAACACCCTCACTGCTAAACTGCTGGCTACAAACTTGAGGGCTCCCTTTACCCCCTCAGGATGCCAGCCACAAGCTCAAAGACTCCCTAGCCCCCCTCACTTCCGACCTGCTGGCTCCCACTACTCCCTCAGGTTCAGTAACTGGCTGGAACGGTTCACACAAAGTGCTGTTCTCAGGATTATATCTCTGTCATAGAGGATCCAAGGCAGGCTCCACGTGAGGAAGAGATGCGTAGCGTGAGGTCTGTGAGCACCACGTTCTGGAGGGTGGGTGCTGCCGACCAGGAGGCTCGTGGCCACCCAGCATCCAGAGCTTCTATGGGGGCTCTCATTACATAATGCAAACTGCAGCCCCTCTCCCTTGGGGCCAGTCGACATTGTGGGGGTGGCCATGGGTGTTACATGGTGGGTCTTTCTGCCTGGTCAGCCCCCACCCCAGAGCCCCTGCTCCTGCATAACCCGTCAGGCTTAGAGTCTACCGAGGACTCTGAAACCATTAGAGAAAATTGTTAAGGGTCTTTTTCATTTTCTTCTTTTTAGGGATCACATCTCAGGAACTGAGGACAAAGAGCAAATGCTGTGGGTAGTTAATGCAAATCCCATAGCCACTAGTAAGATTGTCCACATAGAGGACCACATAGAGGGTAAAGAAAACCACCTAGCTGTAATTTATTTGTTATGTTGATAGGAAGATATACTGAGTTTAAAACGTCTTTCTTTAAAAAGTAGTTTGAATTTTTTTTCTAGAATAGAATTGGCTTTATTGCTTTTTGATAATCAAGCTAGTGACGTTCAGACAGTTCAGAGCAGCGAAATCCCCCACAGCCTTCCCTCTCAGAGAGTAGTAACGTCTGTAATCGTTTGATGGAAGTAAGTACTCGTTTTTCCTAAATGTATGTGTGTGTATGTTTTAAGAAAAATAGTACTTGCCTACACATTGAACAAAAAAAGGTGTTTTGTTCATACTGTTTACTTTTTTGCAGACTCCTTTAATTTTTCTTAAATTTCGTAATTGTGATTTGGGTGAAAGTTTCCAGAGCAAAATGGTTTTCGATTCAAAGTCCACACGCATTCTGTTCTGTGACATCGCTGTAGTCCCCACAGTGTAACAGTACTCTTGCACTTCCTGCCTGCACCCAGCCCTTTGCATCCTCCTCCCTTCCCATCGCCTCCGCCTTCCTAGCTCTTTCCTGGGCAAATGCTGCCCCCTGATCTCACATGGTGACTGTGCTAATGAGTTCTTCATAATGGTTTGTAACTTTTTTCCCTTTAAAAAGCTATTAGGGACCCAAATCAATAAATATAATTAGATCTGTATAATTATTTTCCTTAACAAATTCCTCATCAGCACACATTGAAGATGTTTCTGATTTCTCACTATCATAAACTACTCTGTAAAAGTGTCAGTTTCTGGGTTTTTGTGTTTTTTTTTTTGTTTTTTTTTTTGCATTTTCTAATTGTTTTCTTAGGATAAATTCCTAGAAAGGGAATTTTGGGGTGCAGGGTATGCGCATTTTCACTTCTGCTAAGTATTTTGTTAGATTACCCTGCAGCAATGTTAATTCTCCCAGGGTTGCATGGAGTCTTTTACATGCAGCTTGAAAACAAAGCTCTTTTAAAGTTGAGAACTGCGCCTTTGCTGAATCTCAGCTTTCCTCCCATGCCAGTCTCCTGACAGGAATGCTGATTTAAGGATGTTGTTGTGTGCTGTCGAGTCACTTCTGACTCTTGGTGACCCCGTGTGACTGTCCCCAAGGGCTTTCTAGGCTGTGATCTTTACAGATCCAGATCGCCAGGTCTCTGTCCCGCAGAGCCACGGAGCGGGTTTGAACCACCGGCCTTTCAGTTATCAGGCCAGCCCTTAGTCTCTGGCCACCAGGAGTCCTTTGAATTTAAAGACACAGCACCTGAAAAACTGTCCACAGGAAAGGGCAAGAGGAGAACCTGACCACCTGGGTCCTACATCAGATCACCAAGAGCCGTTTCTCCATTTTCAGGGCTGACGAGCTGTCTGTTTTCAGAGCAGGGAGCGGGCGGTAGGAAAATAGCCTCAGCTTCTTATCACCCAGAGTTTTCTACGTCGATGTAGACCTAACAGCCCGACTCAGAGGTGGGCCCCGTCCAGCTTCTGTAGATGCCAGAGAGTCCTAGGTGAACTTGCTTCATTTCAGCCCTGGGATCAAAATGGGTCTGAAAATTTACTAATCAAAGCAGCGTCCTGCCGGAGCCGAGTCTGCAGGAGTGTGCCCAAGAGGGGGAGGGGGAAAGGATGGTGAGCAGATTGAAATTACTCAGGAATTCCAAAAAGTGTAACCTCAGAAATGGTTAGGAAGCAGACCACATGTGGGGAGATAATGGGGCCGGGGGGACCCAGAAATTGAAGGGCAATTTGTGATAGATGAAAACCAACACATGTGCCCAGTCCTGCGGCCATTCCTCATTGCCAAGCGGTCTGTGAACGCTTTTGAAGTAACTGGGTTGTGTGTGGATTTTTTTTCTCAATAGCAGTCAGTCTCTTTGAAAAACAAAACAAAAGCAAAATAAAACTTGCATGTATTTTCCCTCCCTTTTCTCGTTTGATTCAGTGTGGAGTGGAAAATATCAGAAGAGCCGAGTCTCTGAACGGAAACCCACTGTTCTCTAAGGTATGCACCACGTTACGAGCGCTTTAGTACAACATCCTGGAGAGTAATCCTCTGAGAAACTCCTACAGAATATTGTTTTCCTCACATATTAGAACATTTTGAGTTCCAATTAATTACAAAAATAAAATCGAATTCCTTATACTCTCACTTTTTTCCCCCTTAGATAACCGAGTCTTCTTATTTCCAGCCTCCAGCTCTGTTGGGTTTCAGTGTGTGGTTCAGAGGCCAGGTTTCGTCAGCGAGCGAGGGGCCCCTCATTTCCTAAAATCTCTGCTTTAGCTTTCTCTAAACTGAGGACTCTCAGGACAGGAAGGTTTCACAGAATGTCTTTCAAAGGATTTATAGTTCAGATGAAAAGAAACCCCAGGCTTCAGTGCTGATCAGGGCAGGCATGGGGCAGGATGGCTGCGAATTTGCTCCTTGACACACTTTGTTCCCACCCTGTCTGTCAGGCCCTGGCCGACCTGGTGCTCACACACATCCAGTCCAGCGAGCACTGCTCCAAGCAGTTGACACTGAGCTGCCCGCTCTGTGTGAATCCCGTCTGCAGAGATATGAAGTCCTTCTTCACCAGCCAGCAGCTGTGACCCGCATAGGACACCTGCAGACGCCTCCATGGGGAGAGAGGCCACGGCAAGAAGTGCCATTCCTGAATGCGCAGCCTATGGGTTCAGATCACTGGGGTGTTTGGTGATGAACTCTGGAATTCTTCTTGAAGGACTTAAATTTTTAGCTACCTACATAGGAAGCGTTTCTGTTGCCTCTCTCTGGGGAAAGTTACTAGTTTAAAATGGCCACTAGGCTATTTCTTTTGTTTTTTTAAAACAAAAATGAGTTTTAGAAGTCTTTCTTATGAGATGTACACATTTTGAAAAGATAGGTTTTGGTTTTTAGTGTCCAGAAAATACCATGCAAGGATCTGGAGGGGTCCCCACCTCTGGGGGTGTCAGGAGCGGGATGTCTTTGCAGTCTCACGCGTATAGTTGCAGTTTTGGAAGTGAACATGAGTGTGTGACATATAAAACAAGATGCTGCCTAATTTTTCCCTGAGCCCATGGTTACTGAATGCAAGTGAGGTGGCTTGGTTGCCTGCAATGGCTGCTTTTGTCCTTGATTGATGTTTTGCTGTTGGGCACCGTCTAGTCGATTCCAACTCGCGGTGCCCCCACGAGATGGAGGAGAACTGCCCTTTAGGGTTTTCTCAGCTGTAATCGTCACAGATGCAGATTGCTGGGCTTTTCTCCCAGGGTTGCTCAGTGACTTTGACCTGCCAACCTTTTGGTCAGCAGCCAAGTGCTTAACCACCGTGCCGCCTTACTTTGCCAGTGATGCCACCATTAATTGGTTGCTTCACTACTTTTGCATGAACCTCACTTTCCTCCCTGTAAAGCCGAATCAAGTGCAGGTTCCATAAGGGTATGGATATTCCCTAGGCACGTGAGGCTGAGGAAATGTGTGGAAACCCATCATATGTCATACATGCTATGGGGGGAGCCATGGTGGCACAGGGAAGGAGGCTGCGCTGCTCCTGCCTCCAAGGACAGCCATGCTGGGAAGCGCTCCCGGCATCTGTCCCGGAGCCCACGGGCACTCTTCCACTGAGCTGCTTTTTATCGTAGTTCAGTGTCTCCCGCCTGCATATTTCTTTCAAGGATTGTTTTATAGCATCTACTATGTTTTATCACCTTGTATTCTTCCCTAACTTACCATTTTTACTATAAAAATTACATAGCCATGTTACAGGATGTTTGAAGACTAGAGTAAAGAAAATAACCAGTGTAATAGAACAGCCATTGCTGTGTCTCTGGGTTTCATGCCGGTCTCTTCCTGTGGATGTTGGTGATGCCACTGTGGCCTGGACCTTGTGACTGAAAAGTTGTTTTAAGAACGTGGAAATGATACTGGATCGGAATCTGATAGATACTTAGTTTTAAGTGGATTAAAGAAATCTCCGATGGGTCTCTGAAGAGTTTGTAAATGATTATTGTTTTTTCCAAGCCTGAAAACAATAGAGTTCAGAAGGATGTATTTGAGGATTCACAGGTCTCTATATTCAGGATTTACTAATAAATAATTGTGATCTAATTAAGGTCTTAACCAGTTTGCTTCATGCTGCCTGTTAATAAATCAAAACAAACAAAAACTGATTATCAAAATTAAATATAAGGAATTTACTTTATAATACATGAAAAGAAACTTGCCATCCACTTTCATCATTTCCCTACAAAGGCAACAGCCCTGAAATTTGAATAGCATCTAATTTTTTTCTCAAGTTAGCGTATTCATGAGTAGATTGTGTTTCTGGTTAAAGTTATAAAGGGTGGAGAGTTGTTCAGAATTGTCCCCATCCTTTTCCTTCAGCTTTTGGGAGCTCAGGTTCAAAGTTGACTTTAAGTGCCTGTCCGAGCAGGAAGTGAGTTCTCTGGTTGCTGGGGGTGCCAGAAGGCAGCTTGGGAGCATAACCCACCTTCTCCTTGAGGAACCTGCAGCAGCCCCGCTCCGCTTCTCCAGCTGGAGTTGGTACGCAACACTCCGCGAGCCCTTGCTGGGTATCTGAAGGCAAGGAAGCTTCCGGAGTGATGTCCTCAATACTGAGTCGGGACCACACCGGCCTTGGGTGGGACATGAAAAGGGGTGTTTATTGGGGTGGCTGCCTGTGGCTTGTGGTGTTCCAGGCGTCTTACCTCTGACTTGTTCCCTGTAGCTGAGCAGGACCACCAGGAGGGTAGTATTTGGCAGGATGCAATGACTGTTGGAATGGTTAGCCTGTTTGTCAGCTTTGGAAATACAAATGTTTGCCCAGGTAATTCACAATGAACACTGGCAGTTTCTTCAGGCTGTGCTCACGTACGGACCTGGCTTCAAACTGATGGACCAACTTCTCATACAGAAACGCAGCAGTGTGGCTGCCAGAACCACTGTATGGCCCCCTGTAGGTAGATGTGTAGAATGTAGATTGACACTGGAATCTGATCTATATTTGGTTTTAAATGGATTAAAGACATCCCTGATGGGTCTCTGAAGAGTTCATAATGATTATGTATTCTTTCTTCCAAGCCTGAAAACTAATCAAGTTCGGAAAGTAGAAGTCATGTAAGGGAGGTTGTTTGCTCAATCTGACGCTGCTGTGTTTATCCAAACTGTGCCATCACGCCACGAGCGGGAGGGGCTCAGGTGTTGCCCACGCTAAGTAGAGGCAAACAAGCATGTAATGACCACAGGGCCACCGCAGCCCATGAGCTCTACTGTGCTGTGGACAGGGAGTAGGTGAGGGCAGAACTTACAGCTTGTGGCCTCAGCAAAGAACTAATGATGTGTGTGTGCTTGCCTGTGCATGCATGCGCCTGCACACGGGTACATAAGCCCAGAGTTAGCGCCTGCCTGTGTCTCTAAGTTCTTAACCTGAGAACTTCCTATCAGAATGCTGACCATGGGCACAGGAACATACTCTCCAACATTAGGTGGAGATTTCACTCCATGGGGACTTCACTGGGATGTCACAGACTGGAAAAAAAAATTCTGAATTGACACTGAAACTAGTCCCCTAAATTAAGATTCCAGGTCTTCTGAAGTAGTTTCTAGTTCCTAATAATAAGATGAGCAGCCTTCAGTGGAAGAGAAAAGTGAGTCATTTCTAAATACTATAAATTGGAAACAGTTAATCCAAGTTGTGTCCCTGAAAGACTTCGGGAGTGCTGTTCACAGAGTTCTATCCCAATTGCTTCCTGATAGAGACTCCTCCTTGTAACAAGTCCCATCAGTAACTTCTCCCAATCCAGATAGCTTTCCATGCCACTCAGATGACATTTTACAGAAACTAGCATCATCTTGGCCATAGCCAGCTACCTGGAAGGAGCAAATACTTGGACCTGTGGGCTCGGGACCATGGTTACAGGGGACATCAAGCTCAATTGGCATTAACTACACAGAAACCTTGTTCTACATCCTACTTTGGTGAGTAGCAACTGGGGTCTTAAAAGCTTTCAAGCAGCCATCTAGATGCAACAGTGGGTCTCTCCTAATCCAGAGCAAAGAAGGATGAAGAAAACCAAAGATTCATGGAAACAATTAGTCCAAGGGACTGGTAAACCATGCGATCCTCAGCCTGTATGACTATGAGACCAGAAGAACTAGATGGGGCCTGGCTACCACTGTCAACCACTCAGAGGGAAGTTGATGCAGGAGACCCTGGATAGAGTGGAGAACAATGTGGAACAAAACTCAAATTCATAAGGAAAAAAAAAAAGCCAGGTTTGCTGGTCTGATAGAGCCTGGTGAAACCCCTGAGACTATGGCCCCTAGTCACCCTTCAGGTCTGGCACTGAACTCTCCTGTGGCTTCCAGCCAAAGGATAGACAGTCACGTGGGGTGAACATTCACATCAGGTCGTTACACTACTTGGAGTGAGCAGTTGTAGGAGAACAGAAGGGCAGTATATGCGCTGGGAGACAGCTCCAGGGTGGGAGTGTGTGGGAGGGAAGGGCACAGGGAAAAGTAACTCCAGGGAGGAAGTGGGAAGAGAGCTGTTACATTGTGGGGCATTGCAGTCAAGTCATGAAACAGAATGTGTATGAACTGCTGTATGGAAAATGAATTTGCTCTGTAAACTTTCACCCAAATCACAATAAAACTTAAAAAAACAAAACTAGCATCATAGAATTTCAGAGTATATGTGTTAAATGTGTAACATAAAATGAGACCTTGGGATCCCTCTGAATTCTGCATAAATCATTGCCAGTTAAAATGTTTAACTGTGTTGTAATTGTGTTGATGTTTCCCATGCATAGCTTCTAGCATTCCTGGGTAGTTCAGAGAGTGGCCCCTAAAAACTATTTTTTTCTAGACTGATTCCAGCTGGACAGTTGTATAATCTGACGTTGGCTTTTAAAGTTGTGTTTCTTTTTAAAATGCACTTATTTTGAAAAGTGTGGGGAGCCACTGGGTGCTGCAAGCGGCCAACATGCTCAACTGCGACCCAGAGGCTGGGAGTTCCAGTCCACCCAGCTGTGCCTCGGAAGAAAGTTCTGGCAGGAAATTCAGCCTTGAAAACCCTGTGGGGAGCAATTCTACTCCCACATACGTGGGTCACGGTGAGTCAGGGCCCACGCGTGGTGACTGGTGTGTAAAGCGTGCAGAGCTGTGTAGCAGTGAGGCGGGTGGTGGGTACCATGTGTGCTCAGGAGAAAGAGCTTGATACCACTGATGGTGAATGGAATCAAGACCATGAGCGATACTAGCAGGTGGTGCCTGGCAGCTGGACCAGTGCTCCCATGTGTGATGTCTTGAGCTCTGGGAAGTGCTTGCCCCAGAGAAGACATAGTACCTTAGGGTCCCGGGACAGGAAGAGATGCTTTTGCTATGAGAATCTCATGGTGTCTTTCCACAGAGAAAAAGAAGTGGCGAATACGTGCACCTTGTTGCAATCAGTTTCTTACAATATATTTTGATCGAATTGGCTTAGTTGTTTTTAGTGGAAGTCATTCCTTCTATTTTTAGGATAACAAGAACTATTAGCTACATTACTATGCAGTGTGCCATTATGATTGATGTTGGCATTAAAAGCATTTTTGGAAAAAAAGGCTGGTTT